AAATATAACAATGATATGAGAAAGAAACTAGCATGTTCACAGACCGTCTGATTTCATCTCACACAGGCACTTTACCTTTAGATTTTTATTTATTTTTTGGCTTCAGGAATAACCAGGCCATCATATACATGATAAAATGGTCAGATATGCTCCTCCCAGCTGTTTGAGGTGTCTGAGTCTCTGAAACTGAGGAGTGTCGATGATCTTCACCAGCAGCGGCTGCAGCTCAGTGTGTCCGTGAATGGGGTCGTTGAAGATGTGCGCTTGTCAGAAGATCAAACCAGCAGTTGTGGTGGTGTTGTGCTCCTGATTGTGTTCTTCTGTGAGTGTCCTGATGAGGGCATTAGCTCTTACTGGAAATGAACAACTTTTACTGCCTTGGCTATTAATGGAAACCTCATTTTCTGTCTGCTGTATTTCTGTTTGTTTTTGTGATGGTTATGTTGACAACATAATGATTTTTTTAAGCTGTTAAAGGCTGATGATTTTGAAAATGAAATATAAACACAGAGATCAAACAAAAACCATCAGCAATAAGAATTGGAGAGGTAATGTGAAATATAACAGTGTTGTGCATAATATGATTGTGTTCATAAGAGGCTGTCAGTAACAATCTCAAACAGTAAATCTCACAGTGTCTTTGCAATGAACATTATTATGCAGCGATTTCAGTTTTTCAAATCTCTCTGATTCAAGAACACAGCTGGGTGAAGTTTGTTGCACTCGTCCACTGCTTCGTTCAGTCATTCTGTAGAAATGGGGATTGAAGTCAAACAAATGAGAGCATTATTTTATCCACAGGAGCACTTGTGTAATGATGCTCAACAATAAATGAAACTGGAAAGGTACTGATTTGTTTAGCCATTATATTTTAACTATTTCTTATTCTAACAGTATATTTTAGTTTATAAGGGTAAAACTGTGTTGTGTGATTTATGCTGTAGATAATGTATGCTTACATGATAGATCAGTGAAATCTGCACTTGTAAATACAGTGTCCTCCATGTTTTGGGACAAAGACAATTTGCTTGATAATACCATGTATCAAAAATCCTGTAAGAAACAAAGCAAGTAACACTACAATTGTTTGGCTAGCATATTTCAGATGTTCAGCGACTATTAAATCAGGGCCACATGCTTTATTTACTGCCGATTTCTCAATAGCATAATTAACCTCAGAAGATATCACACCAATACCACTCGGTACATGACCTACTTCAAATTCCTGCCTCTCAACACAAGCAAATTCCTCGTATGTGAAAATATACCTGGCAATAAAGCTCATTCTGATTCTGATTCTGATACATCACTCTATCAGAGCTAGCCTAAATGTCTTTTTGATTCTATCCGTCATGTTTATTTAAATTGAATTGGGGGTGTTAGATTAATGCCGATCCATTTTGTTTATTTAGATTTTATATTATTCTAATATAGCTAGAGAGAGAGAGAGAGAGAGAGAGAGAGAGAAAGAGAAAGAGAGAGAGAGAAAGAGAGAGAATGGATGGTTTATGTCTTTAGCATTTATAATTGGTCTGTATCTATCTCCAGGGATTTTACTTGCATATAGGCCTAACACACAAAAAAAGAAATGGTCATCTTTGTGTTAATATGCCTTGTCCCGACCGTGTGTGTATTTATTTGCTGGACATGGGATTAACTGTAAAAACCCGGTATAACCCGGGTACGGGTCTAGTTTAATTTACATTAAATACTAGCTTCAATGACAGCCCCTCTTAGCGCATGCGCATTAAAATACAATACTGCGCATGCTCGTCAAACATCCAATACGTATTGGATCTGATCCAGCTACGTCATCGTGCTACAGGCTGCAGCGAGGACACACTCGCCCAAACAGATAGAATAGAATCTGCTCACACAAACTGTGCAAATTGTTACCTCAATTTTACTGAGTAGATTCTATAGGTTGTTTTTTACAGAGCAGAGGGAAAATCATCTGCTTATCATCTGTCATTTGTATTTGTCTCTTTCTAGTTTGGATCATGGAGGCCAAAAAAAATTGAGGAATTTTCTCTCTTACACACACACACACACACACACAGAGAGAGAGAGAGAGAGAGAGAGGACTATTTAATAGCTGAATATTTAACAGGGTTTTGTCATGTAGTTATATACACTATGTATACTCTAAGTATGTAGAGATATATGTAGTTTATCCAACAAAAAGCTATTATTTTCATTGATTATAGCACACTCTGAGAGAGCTGCTGCTCTGCGCCTCTAGAGGGAGCGCATTGAGTTTCGTGTGACTGGAGCTAAAAGATGAACAAGACTCAGACACCTCAGGAGACTAAACGAAAGTAAAAGCAAGGACGCCATTTTCAGGGTTTAAACACTTTAACAAAGGGTATAAACGCTAAGCGTATTTCGTGGTAAGTCCAGAACTTATTATTCATGTAGCATAAATATGTAGCCATATGAAAATTATATAAAAATGTTTCTGTTTTTCTGTATGTGATTTTAAACAGATCTTTACAGTTTAATGTGCAAACTAGCTGACCATAATGGCAGAAACGCAGAAGAAGTCATTTAATAATTAAAGCACTTATATGTTTACTTGACAATTTTACAACGATTTTTGTTTTAATAAATATTATTAAATAACATATAGATTCGTCATAATTGTTTTATATCCTGGTAGTGCAGTATTTCTAGATCCTTTGGCATCAACAAAAGTTTGACGGTAAATTACCGTCGAGTTTGAAGATACTTCATTGAAGGAACACTTTTTAATGCACATATTGTGTAGCCTGAACAAATATGGTTAAACATGTCCTCTGCTTTTTCTACAAAATGTAAATTACAACATGTTTAAAAATCCTACTGTTATTTAAACAAAAATAATAATATGAATATGAATATTTTTTAAGCAGATGAATATGTGTAAATGTGTATTGAATAAAATATGTATTTTTTTGTATTATTTGTACTACTATTTAAGAGAGAGAGAGATTACATTTTTTCTGTGAATGCTGTTTCATTCACGTGTCCAATTTAATCATTGCAATGTTACTATTTAACTTTATAACTACATCTTTTCCTTCCACATAAAAGGTCTGCAGTCATGCTCTTTTTGAAACACAGAAAGTAGGAGAGCAGTGCCTCCAAAATGAGTTTCCATGAGGAAAGAGAGAATGAAGACACTATGTCTGAAGCGAGCTCTTCATCTCCTGGATCAGGCCACACATCTCTAAGTGATGAATCCATACAAAAGCTTCCCCCTGCAATCAGTGATGCAGTGACCTCTGACCCCTGGTATGAAATTAGCCTTTTTTTTTCAGAAGTGTCAATAAATGTCAAGATCACGGGGTTAATACCTAGAGAATGCAAGAACTGAGAAAGTAGGGGTGGGCGATATGACAATTTTTGATCGTGGACGATAAAAATGTCTCCACGATCTGCATTTGAAGAAATATTGTAGTATCGTGCTGCAGCGCACATTCAATCAGCTGCAGTTCTGGCACCTCCTCCGTCTCAAGACACTGTACAACGTGACATACATTCACATGACATGACAAAGAATTGTGATAAAATCGTGATATTTCTAAAAAAAAAAAAATTGTGAAATGATATTTTTTCCATATCACCCACCCCTATGACAAAGTGTAGATATTTGCTTTGTATCTGCCAAATGCATAAATGTAAATGCACAGTGTAGTCCACGTAACCTCATGGCACCATCACAAATCACTTTCCTGAAACTTCACTCTCACTGGTTCTTGGTAGTGGAATGATTTTTCAACCTTTCCTCAGCAGCCCCTTGATTTTTTTAAATGAATGGTTTCTTTTTTCATCTCTATTTTAGTCTTTTCTCCTCTCAACAGACATGAAACTTGTCACTGAATAATTTTGCTGTACTTTTGCATAAAGGGCTATATTTTAATGTTTTATTTGTCTTCTCCCAGCGTCAGCAGGAGGAAGACATCGAGAGCAGAGTCTCCAGAACCCAGCTGTGTGTCTGTGAAGAGTAACAGATCCATGCAGAATCGACCCCCTGTTTTCTGTGATGGACCAGTGACCTCTGATCCTCTGTTAGTATAAACATTCACTTGCTAATTTACTCTAGTGCATCTCAGAAGAATAACAATTAAAAAATAACACTTTTTTTAAATAACACTAAATGTACCCCAAAGTCTGCAACTGTCACACCCATGTACTGTTTTGGTGTTTGTTTTCTTCTCCCACGTGTTCCATGTTCCCTCCTGTGACCTAGTTTATCCCTCGTGTTGATTGTGTCCTCTGATGTCAGGTGTTCCATCTTTAGTTTCCATGGGTTTTAATTAATTACTCCACGTGTTTCAGTTCTCCCTGATTACTTTCCCTGTGTTTATTATCCCTGTGTTTTCCTGAGTCTGGCGTCTAGTCTTAACCATCAATCCCCATGTGCTACGTGCGCATTCCCATACTGTAAATAAAGTCTGATTGTTCTGGATTCTCCCACGTCTCCTCGCTCCTTGCAGTAGGCGCACCGTGACAGAAGACTCAAATCCCTCCTCAAATCCCGCTGGCCACTCCGAATTCAAGCCCGCCGGCCGTTCCAAAGTCAGGCCCGCCGGCGGTTCCATTGTCAAGCCCGTCGGCCAATTCTCTCCCAAGCCCTCAGCTGACAGCAGCGGTCTCCTTCACCTCTGCTTATGAAGGGAAATGCGGGGGAATAGAGTGTCGGCTCCAGCCCCTGAGTCCGCTCCAGTGTCGGCTCCAGCCCCTGAGTCCGCTCCAGTGTCGGCTCCAGCCCCTGAGTCCGCGCCAGTGTCGGCTCCAGCTCCAGTGTCGGCTCCAGCTCCAGTGTCGGCTCCAGCTCCAGTGTCGGCTCCAGCCCCAGAGTCTGCTCCAGTGTCGGCTCCAGCCCCTGAGTCCGCTCCTGAAAGGGCTCCAGTTCCCACGTCCAGCCCAAGGAGGGCTCCTGTTTCCATGTCAAGTCCAGGGAGGGCCACAGTTCCCGAGTTAGGCCTACGGAGGGCCTCAGAAGCCGATATTCTCCCCAAGGATTTTTTTGGGGTGAGGGGGAGGAGGGGAGGCAATAGGGATCCGTTCGTAGAGGTCGGGCCAAGTGCCGAGGCCAGGCCCCCTGAACTGTCTGCCCCGCCATGGCTCCCCGAGCTGCCTGCTCCGTCATGGCCCCGTGTTCCCTGCTCCACCATGGCTCCCTAGTCTCCCTGCTCCGCCATGGCCTCCTGAACGATCTGCTCAGCCATGGCCTCCTGAACGGTCTGCTCTGCCATGGGTCCTGGAACGGATACCGCCCTAGAGGCCGTCCGTCTCGTTTAAGCCTTTCCCTAGAGGCCTCCAGAGTGGCACAGTATGCGCCTTCCGGGAGGGGGGAGTAATGTCAGGCCTATGTACTGTTTTGTGTTCCATGTTCCCTCCTGTGATGTAGTTTATCCCTTGTGGTGATTGTGTTCTTTGATTTCAGGTGTTCCCTTTTTAGTTTTCATGGGTTTTAATTAATTACTCCACATGGTTCAGTTCTCCCTGATTACTTTCCCTGTGTTTATTAGCCCTGTGCTACGTGCGTGTTCCCATGTTGTAAATAAAGTCTGATTGTTCTGGATTCTCCCACGTCTCCTCGCTCCTCACAGTAGGCGCACTGTGACAGCAACATATTTATGTTTCAACATATATATTTTAAAGAGGGGCATCAAAATAATACCTGGAAACAAATATTTCTGATTGTCTTCAACAGACATTGAACAGTGATTTTGCAGCTATTTTCTTTTCAATTTCAGCAGGGGAGATATAAATGAGATGATCAGATCTGTGTCGTCCTCTGCATCCCACTCTCAGACTCACATCAGGCAGGATGACACAGTCCTGCAGAAACACACACTGGACACTGGAGACCATCAGAGAGTCAAAGACCAGCTCAAAACCAGCATGAAGAACAAGTATGAGAGATTATTTGAGGGAAACAAACTCCAAGAGAATGAAACACTCCTGAACAGGATCTATGCACAGCTCTACATCATAGAGGGAGAGAAGTGTTCAGGAGTTTCTTGCTGCTTTCTTTGTGTTTTACCATTATGTAATGATACATATTGATGCATTGCAATTTTGCGATGTGATTCATAATCTGCATAGAGATGCAGTAGATAAAGCTCTTGAGAGTAAGAATGGACACCTGGATCTGTTCCTGCGGTTCCTGCTGGGCGTCTCACTGGAGTCCAATCAGAGACTCTTACAGGATCTACTGACTCAAACAGAGAACAGCTCAGAAAGCATCAGGAGAACCACACAGTACATTACAGAGAAGATCAAAGATGGACATGGACTCTCCACTGAAAGATCCATCAATCTGTTCCTCTGTCTGCTGGAAGTGAAAGATCAGACTCTGTCCAGAGAGATTCAGGAGTTTGTGAAATCAGACAAACACTCAGAGAAGAAACTCTCTCCTGCTCACTGCTCAACAATCGCCTACATGCTTCAGATGTCAGAGGAGCCGCTGGATGAGCTGGACCTCAAGAAATACAACACATCAGATGAGGGTATAAGAAGATTGATACCAGCTGTGATCAACTGCACAAAAGCCCTGTAAGTGTTTAGTCATGTCTTAATTCAGAATTAAGCTGATATTATTGAAATACAAATTGAAGAATAAGGTTAAGAATTTAGTTCTCATGTGTTCTGCTCTCTTTCAGTGTTGCTGGCTGTAATCTCACTGCTCTAGATTGTGAAATTGTGTCATCGGCTCTTCAATCCTCAAACTCTGTCCTGAGAGAGCTGGATCTGAGTAACAATGACCTGCAGGATTCAGGAGTGAAGCTGCTCTCTGATGCACTGAAGAGTCCAAACTGTCAGCTGGAGATACTGAGGTATTAAGAACAAGGGATTATGTACAGTTATCTGGTCATAATATTGATGTATGTCTGTAGATCAGTGGTTGCCAACCCGTCGATCGCGATGGAACCTGGCAACCCTGTTCATTGGCGCCACCTGCTGTCAGAGAGTGCATTTTATTCAGACCTGCTGTTTTTGTTTCGTGCAGATGTTTTATGTAGCAAATAAATAAATAACACCTAAAGTCAGACCATTCTGTTTTTGTTTTAAATCCTGAAATTAATCTAAATCAAATCAAAAACAACTGCCTGTGCAGATCATGATTAAAATGCAGTGGTTGTCTCTAATTTAAAATGGCTAAATATTTTTGTTTAAAGCCAGTTTGTTTGTTATAAAGCAAATAGCCAATAAATAAATTTGCTTAAAAATCAGTATCAGTATCAGAATCCAATTAGCTAGTTTAAAAAAAAGAAAGAAAGAAAGAAAAGAAAATCTGAATTCTGAATCAGCTATGATCGGCACATCATTAATTAAAATACTAAGTAAAAGGCATCAAATTTGAAGTACAATCTGGGATGTCTTTTTCTATCAATTCTTCATTAGGTAGATCTTGTCTTTCATAAAGGCAGAGGTCAGGGATCTTGGGTCTAAAAAGGTTGGTGACCACTGCTGTAGATGATCTGTCTGTGTGTGTGTTTCTGTAGGTTGTCTGGCTGTATGGTGACAGAGGAAGGCTGTGGTTATTTGTCTTCAGCTCTGAGTTCAAACCCCTCACACCTGAGAGAGCTGGATCTGAGCTACAATCACCCAGGACCATCAGGAGTCCAGCTGCTCAAACACAAACTGGAGGATCCAAACTATAAACTGGAGATACTCAAGTATGTGGGGCAGTTATGACTCATATGTGTGTCTGTATGTGATTTGGGTTACCTAAGAGAGATTTTTCGCAGCTTGCCTAGAGAAGTCCTTGTAACAAGGGAGCCATGAAGGAAGGTGCAGACAAGGGTCTAGGTGCAGGATGATTTAATAAACAAAACCATCAGGAACCAAGGAATATGCAGGGCAGGAACACAAACATCTACATCTAACTACTGACTAACTACTACAACACAGTAAACGTAGGGCCTTAAATACACAGGATAACTAACTTGACTAAATTCAACTAAATCAAAAAGCACAGACAGCCAGAATATGTGTTTACTATATTTCATGCACACTACTCACATTATGTGTGTTTTGATCAATGTTCATAAACTGGGAGGTTAAATGGAGCGGCTCAGGTCATGTAGCCGTGACATATAAAGAAATCAGCAGGAAAAGTGGCATTGACTGTTGGTTTGGTCTCAATGAAAACTCCTGGAGTATGTATTGTTCTGATATGAATTATACTGTCTGGTACAATAATAACAGCACTGATGTATTTGGCCCTTCATCCCACTCTAATAGAGTAGGTATCTATCTGGACTGTCTGTCAGGCACTCTATCCTTCTACAGCGTCTCTGACACACACACACTCACACACATATACACATTCAACACCACACTCACTGAACCCCTCTACGCTGGATTTGGGGTTTATCCTGAATCTTCTGTGTCTCTTTGTCAGATTTAACAAAATTTGTGAAGAACCACAGAGACCTGGGAAAGAAATTGCAAATACTGTTGCAATTGTGAAATAAATTCAGCTTGTAATATAAATTTGCAGTGTGAGATACAAAGTTGCAGTTATGAGAAGTAGTTGCATTTCCAAGATCATATTGTCATATTGTACAAGTCATATTGTAAGATATAAAGTCACAATTACCAAAAATTCCCACTTTTCAGAAAGTCGCCATTGCACGAAAATTAATTAATCAAATTCGACATACAGTTCACATGGATATTACTAATCAAATAGCCAATTAAATGTAGAGCGCTGTGAATTTGAAGTTGCAAGATATTCTGGGTTGCAGTGGCATTCAGTGTATCAACAAGGTTTCCCTTTAATGAGCAATGACTTCCCTTTAATGTGGAATGACTTCCACAAGTGCAAATAAAAGATGTGATTGGTTGGATTTTCTGTCACATTGTTAATGTAAATGATATGGAAATCATACTGTTATATTGAGTAGAATTAACAAAATGTGTTCAAACCTGCATAGGTGTCTATTTGTGAGTGTTTTCCTCTTTGAGTCATGAAGTTTTAATTTGCTGTGTTGGCTCTTCTTCCCTTTTTCACCGTAATTACATGGGAGTTGGTTTTATTTGAGCTCTCAGACTTATTTTATATTTTTTAAAATTTCCAGAATCAAAGGTGATGGTCTGTAGAAGCAATCTGGGCTCTTCATTTGGTGTGATCTTATTAAAGCTACTGTAGATGTCGTCACTGTTTCAGAGGATCCACAGACTCAGTTTCATCTGCTGGATTGTTAAGAACTGTTAGATCAGCGTGTTTCTCTTTGTTCAATATCATAGAGTTAAAATAATCGTTTAATGAGTTTTGTGCAACACTGATATTATGTATTTCACAATGTGTTTTATTGCCGTTTTCTTTTTTTTTAACATGATTGAGTTTTGTTATGTAATAAATTATGTTAGCTAAAGCTATAATTCAGTGATTCATATCATTTGTTTTTTTTTGTTGCCACCTCAACATTTTATGTTACTGTTTCTATTTTACTTTTATTTGTGCCTATGTTTTGGATTGGTTTTGTCAAAACATTTTGTCAGGTAACCTAAAATGTGCTTCATGTAGTAACATCTAAATTAAATATCCAAATGAATGATTATTGAATCAAGCTGATTTCATGAGGTTGCAAATGAAAGTAACTTTTAAGCATCAGATCAGGTGAAAATGTCTCTTTATTGTGACAGCTGCATAGTTTAATACTGGGTTACTGATTTTCTTCAATAAATCTTTATATATGGTCACTGTCTGTCATGTTATATCATTACATTTCAGTCAGGACTGAGAGATCCAGATTACAGTCTTTATTTAGTTGATTATACATTCAGATGACGCAGTGATTTAGTGTGTGATTACAGCACGTGTTCAGACAGATGTCACTCACACATGTCTGCTCTCCTCTATTTCATCTGTCTTTCTGATTTCTCCTCTCATCTCTCAGTCTGTTTCATTGGTTGCTCTCTCATGTCCTGAATAAATGATGTTGGAGTCTCTGCTGCTGGACGGGGGTCTCTGTGAGTCTGTGTGTCCAGGACAGTCTTCTCTCTGTGGGACACAGCCGGAGTCTGCCCCGTTTTGTCTGATTTATCAGACTGCTGTGAGTCGGGACTGAGAGACAATGGACACACATGAAGAACAGTTTATACTTCATTTAGGACACACTGCACCACTGCAAGGTAAGATACAAACACACGTGCATTTGTTTCATTATATTAGTGAGGACATTGCATAGATGTCTATTGATTTTCTATCAGATTAATGATATTTTCTTTCCCCTCTAACCCAACCCCTACCCCTAAACTTACACATCACAGAAACTTCTGCAAAACACTAGGTTTACAGCAAACACATGCTTTGGCTGATTTGTAAGCCTTTTTAACCAGTACGGACCAGTAAAATGTCATCACTAGCGTGTTGGCATATTATTCAAGTGTGGACATTTAGCCCTCACATGTACGATTAAACAAGTACACGTACGCACACACACACACACACACACACACACACACACACACACAAACACGTCTTTACCCACTGACCAAAATGGTGAAACTTTGACGATTACAGTGCTTAAGTAAATTAAAGGCTACTATTGAGATTTGATTTCGATATCCTCAGACTTTTGTTACATTCCTACAACATCTTTTAAAATTGTATAATGAAATCCTTGTATTGTACGAATATTTCTTTATCAGCATCAACAAAATACACATTTGACTGTAAATTATGATTTTATTTCACTAACATAGTGAACAGAAGTGATATTGCACATAGAGTACATTGATCACATTATAAACAATAATAACAAACTTGTTAAACTGTTGCATAAACAGGAGTGAATGAGGCGCGCTCTCGGCACGCCTTTACAAAAACTTCAGTGATACACTTGCAGTATTTAGTGCAGTTGAAGGGATACAGCTGTGGCAGGAAACTAACAATAAATTACATTTTCTACCTACTAGATTGTGTTTCATTAATGTCTAGACCTAGCCCAACCCTAAACCTTCCCCTTACAATAATGCAAAAACAGTAATTGTTGTAGAAAAATCATGCTATATTGATGTGCACATACCCAGTAGCCACAGCTGTATCTCTTCTAGCCTTAACCATTTAGTTTTTTTATTTTATTATACTCGACACAGTACAAAATAAATGCTGACTAAGGTATCCAAATGACCACTTTAAAGGGGTCATATGATGCGATAAAAATTTTTCCTTTCTCTTTGGAGTGTTACAAGCTCTTGGTGCATAAAGAAGATCTGTAAAGTTGCAAAGACTAAAGTCTCAACTCCAAAGAGATATTCTTTATAAAAGTTCAGAGTCAACCACGCCTACCTATAAACACATTTCATTACACCAAATACACAAAATAATGTTCTTTTTAGCAACATCATATGACCCTTTTAATATCAAACTATTAAAAGTACTGAAGATGACACGGTAATGCTTTAGATTACAACCCGCAAAGAACTACGTAAGTATACTGAATTTACGGTGTACGTTTCTGTAATGATAGTGTACCAAAAATAACGTAAGGGAACAATGTGTTAAGTTTGGGTCATAAGGGGGTAACAACCAGATATGCAACCTGCAAAGAACTGAGTTAGTGAACTGAAGTTACAGCGTAACTTTTTTGTAATAGCGTACGCATTCAGTAACTCCATGTAGGTAGGGGAATAATATGTGACGTTTGCGGAATAAAGGGGTAACAACCTGTAAAATTACAAACCATTTATACTGTAAGTATTTTGAAACTAAGGGGTACCTATTCTAATATTACATGGTATGGTATGTATAACCTAAACACTAATCTTATGTTTGGAAGTGTTTTAGAAAGACGATATACTTCTTATAATTTTACATTGGTGTTTTATTATAGGCCTAGGTATTTTAACCATTCTATTATTAAAGGAAACATGACAGAGATTACTGAACAACAAAACTGGACATCTAGTGAAATGAGTTAATGAGTTTCTGCTATGATTTATATAATTCACACGTTTACCTACCTTATGAAAGCTTATTCATCGATCTAAGCTGAGTCACACCAGCAACTTCCCAGTACCACTATCACCAAATAACTTTGCATGATATACCAACAAGGTTCAATGCAGCTTAAAACAAGCTTACCTATTTCCAGCTGTTCACAGAAAAAAAAATACATGATACAACATTTGTATTTCAGTGGATGTATACTGTGATGTTTTATAGCAAAAAAGAGGGTTTAATTTGGCCATTAAACTATTAAATTAAAACTAGAGCAATATTTTTCTCTGTAATTACTGTGCAAATATACACTTGTTCTGTGTTTAAGCCCAACTCCTCCCTTATTCCATGTTTACAGGGTAAATACAACAGTTGCGGGCTGTAAATTAAAGTGGTGCTTGTTACTTCCTTGTTCCATGCAGTAACAGGGTAAGTGGCTACAACAAATTGCTCTGAAATGATTGTTTATACGGTAGGTCATACATACATACACTATATATCATTTAATATATCAATAAACATGGTGACTGTTTTATTTAAGATTTTTAAGTTAAAGGTGTCATATGACACTGCTAAAAAGAACATTGGACTACCAGTAAAACTGATAACAAATTTGAGACCAAAAATTATTCAGACCGAGTTTGGGAAAAAAACTGAAGGTTTGCATGAAGCTGGGTGACAGCATGCCCAGGAGACTGCAGGCTGTCATTAAGGCTAAGGGCTGCCCGACTAAGTATTGATAGTTGTGTAAATACTGTCAAACTAACAGCTGTCTAATTTTTGGTTGATTGTAATCCATTACATACCTTTCTATCAAAGTTATCTAACATCATCAAGCTGAATTTGTTCTGACACAGTTTAACTCTGAGTTCTTGTTATATTTTATTACCATTTTCTAAACTATAAAGAATAAACTGTGAGAATGTGAGAAATGTTGAAGGTGTCTGAATAAATTTTGGTTTGACTGTATCTATTTGATCTATTTGATAAATGAAATTAACAACTAACATTATACATACTCTTTTGGTTTCTGTACCCGATATTTAAAAAATTTACAAATGCAATAAAAATATTGGTATCGGTACCCGGTGTCGGCAAGTACCAAAAATAAAAGTATCGGTATCGGGTGAGTACTGGAAAAAGTGGTATCGGTGCATGCCTTGTGAAAATAAATAATTCAAGTTGTTTATTTTGTTTTAAAATATTATAAATGTATGAGGTGGCAAGAGGGGCCTTTTACCCCACACACGGGTCACACGGTATTGATACAAATACTTCAGCTAAAATAATGGGTTTTTTTAATAATAATATCTAAGTTAATACTTGTTAAAAACAATCACTTTAGCAAAGTTTGTACTATTTTCTGCTTATTTTGAAAAATAAAATAATTCATTTTTGTTCAATAAATATACTGTCATGTTAATATACAAATATATTTTAAAATACATAAACAATATAATTTTAATAAGTAAAGAGTCTGAAAGTATTGAAGGAGATCCAATAATAATTAAATATATATTTACAGTAGTAACAACAAATTATATTTTATTATATGATATGATTAATATTAGGGCTGTGTAAATTGTTATTGATATCTAGATATTAATCGATTCTCTTTTTTACGGAACGATATCGATTCTTAAATCCCAAAACTCGATTAGTCTAGTCTGTTTTCAGTTAATGGACGGAACATTGAAGGGCACCTCCCATCAAATAAATAGCAATAAGCATTGTGCTTTAGTGCTTTTAATATGAAGCAAAGTCTCAGATTTCAAATTCTGTCCATCCATTGTATTGCAGTATTTAAACAATAAATGCCGTTTTGGTGCTGTTTAATGTGGAGTGACAGATCGATGTAGCACCTCAGATCGGCTCCTGTCCCCGTGCTTAGCCCAAGGAGGGCTCCAGTCCCTGAATCCCCTCCAGAGCGCCTTCAAGCGCGTTCTGCGCCGTAACAGTACTACTGGGGAGGGGGGTGGGCGCCCTGGAGACTGGTACAGTACTGGAACAGGGCGGAGACAAGGGAATCCTCCAGGGCAGGTCAGGAGGCCAATGTGGAGCAGGCAATTCAGGTTGCCATGGCGGAGCTGGTAGAGGTTTGCATGAAGCTGGGTGACAGCATGCCCAGGAGACTGCAGGCTGTCATTAAGGCTAA